TGAGGTATCGTCTTGAGAGAGAATAGAACAAAATACAGTGTCCACTGAAGAGCTTTGAAATGTTCTTTACAAAGACTGGAGAACTATTCACGCAGACTACTTAAAGAAATTACAAGACAGCTTGCCTAAAAGAGGTGATCAGAGCAAATGTTAACTTTCAAGCTAATTATAATTGTAAATTGCCTCATATACTGTATTTTCACATGTCCTTACACATATTTCAATAAATGGCTGCACCTATTTCCCCCTATCATAACAAAACATAAAGAAATAAAGTGTGCCTCTAGACTTTTGCACAACATTGTATATTTCACAAATTGAATGGATAGATTTATTTTAACCTTGTATATTTTCTGTGACCAGTTTTGGAGTCCCTGCAGATGTTCTCTTCTTGTTATAAGTTCTTCATTCCCCACCATCAGCAAGTGCTTGCTATGGTTGTTGGAGTTCTCTCACTAATATTGTTGTACCCTTAGCCTATAATATAAAATGAGATGATGCTAAACAAATGCAATTGAATTAATAAATTGCTGCTATCTGATCAAACATGGATGAGATCAATTCATTCCATTTCATTCCATGGAGCCATGCAGACTGTTGTCTTGGATACTACACTCCTCAACTGCACATTCAGTGTGATTGTCCTGTTCCTGAGGTCTGTTGCTATTTTGCATAATTGTAATTTCCCTGTTCTTTGATCTTTATAGATTTCCTCCTTATGCTGGTTATTTTTACATGTGTTTTGAAATAATATTAAACAATAGTTTCAATTTATTCAAACTCATCTTGTACCCACACATGTGCACTCAGGATGGCTGCAGGTTACAGGTTGTCACTCTGTGGTGATGAGAGGTTTGGGGTAGGGGGAGGTAGAAATATTGCAAAAATATTGCTCTTACTAGACCCCTACCACTTGCAAATAGAGTACAGAAGCTACTCGATGGTTACTTGATGATGTAACATACTCTTGCAATATACACTTATTTACTTACTGTGAATAATACTGTATCAGTTAAATAGAACGCAAAGATATAATTTTAGTCATGTCTGACCATGCCGAAGATGGGGAATGGGAATGATGATACCGATAACATATGTTTTAACCAATCCTGAACAGAAATTGCCATTAATTTGAAAAATTTGTTTATTCTAAGTATAAAAAAAATAATAAAAAAAAAAAAAAAAGTCATCCAATATGTCCTTACTGCTTTTTTTTAGTAAGAGTGCAGTGTGACAGTCAGATCCACCCCTCACTTGTCACATCTGGTTTCAAAAAAGCAAAGTGGTGAAAACATTCAGCTCAAGGCTTCAGCAAGGGACTTCACAAACAATGAGTGATGCCACAGTGACTAACCCTAGTTCTCTTAAGTCTAGCAGTGTTAGCAGTTTCAGCAGCAATATTGAGAAAATATTAAAAAAATCTCAAAACTGTCTAAATTCTTTCATCTTTAATAAAATGATCAGTAGGGCTGGCTCTACCAGGTGTAAGAATTAAGTTTAACTTCCAAGCATCCATGAAAAACATAATTTCTGAAGTTTATTGGAGTTAGAAGTTAGCAGGGAGTTAGCTTGCTAGTTTCCATCTAAAGATGATATGCAATGTCTGAGTGAGGGAATTCTGAAAAACTAAAACGTACAACTCTGCTATCACTTCGGACATAAGTGAAGTGAAAACTAAAAAGCAGATGTTTGTATGATAACTGAAGTTGGGCTAGCTGGTATTTAATGGTGTGCTATGTGGTGGCTAGATACAGAGCTATGGTTAGGATAATATAAACACATTAGCACAGTGAAGCTGAACTTTTATCCCCACAATAAAAGTCAGCATGAGAGTTCCCAATGGGCAGAGACAAATGCAACTGGATGGCAGGAAAAAAAATATGAAATCAAGAGATAATTTGAGGTGATCCATCCCCAGCATGAGGTTAGTCATTATTAATATACTGCTGTTTAGTCGCTGTTGAAAATTCTTGATCCTCAGCTTAATTCACCCATTCAAATCTTTCTTAGCCTCAGAGTGATTCTTTTCTGACCTATTCAAATGTAATTACGTCAGGTATAATTACATACAGGTGTAATTATTCATGTCTATTGTAATTATTCAGATCAAAAACCCAGACAGGCCAATTGTGATCATTGAGTATTTTAGTACCTTGTTCAGATTAAATAGAACAAGATACAAAGCATTAACACACATGAAAAAGACAACCTTAATGACCTTAACACAGTGTAGTTTGGACCTGGATGCAGGCTTTATATGTCATAACTTGACACCTGATGGTTGTGAACAAAGAATTTCAGGAGAATCAGGTTTGCATGAATCTATCTATCTATCTAT